TGCTTTGTCTGGCTGGAAAGGGCTGCCCCACATGCGGCTTCCCTTCCCTCCGGGCCCCTCAAATACCCTCCAGCCCAGGCCCCCCCTTAGGCTGCCCTGATTCCCTCCTGGGGGGCCTTTTCCTCTCTTTTGCCCCCCCCCGGACTCAAAGCCTCTTCTCCCCCCCTTCCCGTCATTTCCATGCTGGGTTTGCGGGGGGGGGAAGCAACTTTTCTGGAAATCTCCCCCGAAATGGTACATCCAGGTTTCCCCCTCCCCGGAAAAAAATCCCCGTGGATCTCACCTGGTTGCCCCTCCCGACAGGAAAAAAAAAAGAAGACCCACTGAGAAAGCTGCCGGTCCGCCTCGGAACCGCTTCGGAGCTTGCTTTGCCTGGGAGGAACGGAACGCCAGGGGCACAGACCGGAAAAAGGAGACACGGTTAGAAGGCACTTCCGTATTCCTTGGGCTGCCGGTCTAGGAAGCGCGATTCCATCTCCTTAACCCCTTCCGAGGAGTTCAGACGTTACAGAAGATAGGGAGGAAGTCGTGGGATCCCAGAGTCTTCGACAGAGAATTTTTGCCCTTTCAGAATAAAATAAATGTTTAAATATATTCTCTCGGTGTGTTGGGCTGTGCTGTCGAGTCACCTCAGAAGCAGGAGAGCCCTAGCAGGCTTTTCGAGGTATAGGGAGTTTCAATGGCGGAGAGAGAATTTGAACTCAGAGCTCCTGACTCGTCTGACTCTCCATCTACACCACACCACCTCTCAAAGTACACTTCAAAGCGACTTTGAACACAGCGTTGTTGTTCTTTTAAATAGCCTTTCCATTCACATGCCATTACTTTTTATTGCTTAATTCACTGCTTTTTTTCATTCTCGTTTATGGGGATCCTCCCAGGGTTTTCTAAGGATAGTGCCCAGAAGTGGTTTCCCAGCTCCAGGGGAATTCAAGACCCATTTTAAAGCCTTATTGGGCTCACTCTGACCTTCTGCAGATACTGTATTTATGTTTGGGATGATGTGATGTAGTCTCTTGCAGATTGCGGGCAACCTACAAGCCGAATAAATAAACAAAAAAAAATATTATTTCTTTATTTTTTTATTTTTGCATTGCGATAACCTGAGAGCCAGGGTGGTGTTAGACTCTGGGTGCAATCAGATGGGGGAAAAGCCATTCCCCCATATGTTGGCGATATGGTTTGCACCGGACTCCTTCCCCACCAGTCCAAAAAACAACCGTAATTTCTCCATGTGATCACACTCTAAAGTTCAGGAGATCCAAATTCAAAATCCTGTTCAGGAAAGAAAACACAATAGGAGGGGGTGGCAATGGTAATCCTCTCCATCAGGGATGTTGGCAAGTATTCAGTACCAAGTCCTGAATCCGGGTCCAAAAACCTTGGTAGAGATATCAAGTCATGTGGACTAGCTTTAAAAGAAAAATGTTAAAAACCCTGTGTCCCCCCCCCCAATTTTTGTTTTTTTTCCCCCACTGGCCTCCCCATCTCTAGGCAAGATACAGTCCTTACATCTCCAGAATGTTTTAAATCCAGAAATTCAAAACAAACAAAATAATAGGGGGGAATGTCCTCTGCTGTGTCCCCCCCCCCAATTTTTGTTTTTTTTCCCCCACAGGCCTCCCCATCTCTAGGCAAGATACAGTCCTTACATCTCCAGAATTTTTTAAATCCAGAAATTCAAAACAAACAAAATAATAGGGGGGAATGTCCCCTGCCCCCTATTTTTCTGCCCCCCCCAAATCTGCTTTCTATGGCTTCAACATTTTTGGAAATTTTACATCTCTAGCTGTGACTGCACCTTGCGTAGTAATGAGAGGGCCTGAAAAAACAGCAGGAAAAAAATGGGAGGGAACAGGGTTTTTTCCCCCAGAGCCGTTTTATATGGGTTCAAATTTCCCAGACATTTTACATCATTAATCCATAGTACCAAGTCTCGAATCCCAAGCCCACATCCCTATTAAACACAAGCTTTTTTTCCTTCAGAAAACAAGGAAGGGTGCGTTCCGAGTTGATTCCGAGTCATCAAGAAGAAGAAAAAACACAAATTCAAGTTGAGTCCGAGTTGAATCGCTGGTGTAACTTAAGTCCGACTCAGATCTCCCCTGTTCTCCGTACACCCCAGAAACCAACTCAGGTCAACAGAAGTTGGAAGTGACTTGGCCGTACTGTACATGAGAGCACCGTTGGCTACACTCATCTGCAGCCCTGCAAACTCAAGGTTGTGGTTTCCTTTATTAAGTTAGTCCATTTCACGACTGGTCTTTCTTCTATCCTGTCACCTTCAACTTTTCCTAGCATCCTTATCTTTTCAAGAGAGTCTTTATCCAGAACTTGCTTTACTGACCTTTTAGGCAGTCCAGAATACCTGCAGAGGTCACATCCTGCTTCAAATTAATCATCAGTGTTTAAAATTGTTATTTTGATACTAAAATCTATTGCAACTATTTAACTATGTCACACACCAGCTGCTTTCCCTTTAATAAGGCCTGACACTTAACTCATGGTTTTGAGCCTGGCGTTGGCAGGAAATCGCCACCCATTGTTGGTTTGAAATGAAGAATCACGTCTGATGAAATCCTTGGAGTTGGGGAATAAGAAATGAGTTTTGTTTGCAAAAGGGCCAACAGAAAGCAGATACCAGAAAGAAGATAAAGGTAAAGAATGGAACAAGAGAAGTCTGCAAAGCAGCTGGCTTTTTTCTTTAATCTAAATTTACTGTCTTCTGATTTTAACTACAGTGGATGTTTGCACTGACTGAAGACGGGTAGAATGCCACTTTTTAATGGCCCAGAAACACCACTTTGCAGGCTCCCAGGATCTTACCTGGCAGAACTGTGCAAAGAACATGTAAGCTCATGCTCACAGCGGGGGCTTTAAGAACATACAGGTGATGTAAGAACATTATGGGTAGAGGAAGATATGGCATTGGGACAGCTGTTAGTCGTTCCAGAAGAACAGTGAACAGATGCCTGAAAGCTGTCCATTGTTCTGGTGCCATTACCACCTACAGTGGTGCCTCGCTTAACGAGAGCCCCGTTTAACAACGAAACCGCTTAGCGACGAAGAATTTGCGATCGAAATAGGAAAAAATCACTTTGCGATGATTGGTAAGCTGTTTCACTTACCGATTATCGCATAGCGATCTTTTTCCTATAGCTGATTGGCGGTTCCAAAATGGCCACCGGGTAAAAAAACATGTCCGCCCGCTGTTTTCTGGGACGGATTCCTCACATACCGGGCAGCGAAAATGGCTGCCGTATGGAGGATTGTCACTTAAAGGTACGTTTTAAGCCCATAGGAACGCATTGAAGGGGTTTCAATGCATTCCTATGGGCTTTTTAACATCGCTTAGCGATGTTTTCGGTTAGCAGCGATTTTTGCTGCACCGATTAACATCGCTAAGTGAGGCACCACTGTACTAGGCTCCAGGTAGCCAGCTCAGTCACTCCTCCACTCTAACTTTGGTGCTGCTGAATGCCAGGCCTGTATTCAATAAAGCTCAGCTAATACAAGATCTTATTCTGGAAAAGGATACAGATCTGGCTTGCATAACTGAGACACATGGATGGATAGCGAAGGAGGTGTACATACCCCTGTCTCTTGCCTGTCCACCCGGTTATGCTGTCCCGCATCAGGGTAGACTGGAGGGTGGGGGGGGAGTTGCCATTGTTTATGACACCCTTGAGATTGTCGGGCTCTCTGCTGTGGCGATGCCAGGCCTAGAGGCCCTCCATGTTGTCAATTGGGGCCAGGAACAGTATTGGGATCTTGCTGGCATACCGTGTTCCCCGCAATCCAGTCACCTCCCTACCAGAGCTAACTGACTTCATCTCCGCGGCTCTGTTGGGATTCCCAAGACTGATTGTCTTGGGTGATTTCAACATCCATGTGGAAGCGGAGGTTAGCAGTCCAGCTCTTGAGTTCTTGGAAACCATGGCTTCCTTGGACATGTCTCAACATGTTAACAGTCCCACACACGTGGGTGGCCACACTTTGGACCTGATTTTCACCTCTGAGCAGAGGGAGTGTGGCCTGATGGTGACAGACCTTTGGTTGGTCCCGTTGTTGTGGTCGGACCACCACCTGATAAAGTTCAATCTCATGGTGGCCCTCCCTCCCCATGGGGAGCAGAGACTTATTTTCATGGTCTGCCCTCTCAGGCTATTAGATCCTATTGGGTTCCAGGATGCCATGTGTAGGATTCCAACTGACCAGACTGGCGCTCCTGTTGAGGCCCTGGAGGATGGCTGGTATGATGCTGCTGCCAGGGATGTAGACATGATCGCTCCCAAATGCCCTCCCTGCCACAGAGCCTGACCAGCGCCTTGGTTTAACCAGCAGCTGCGGGGTATGAAGCGGAAGAGGAGAAGGCTAGAGAGTGTCTGGAGGTGGAACCCAACGGAAAATAACTTAAAAGCTGCCAAGGTTGTATCTAACCTCTATCTTACTAAAGTAGAGGCTGCTAGAAAAGCCTGCTTCGTTATCCGGATAAGCAAAGCATCCAATCAGCAGGTGGAACTTTTCCATATAGTATGTGACCTATCCGGAATTGGCCACAACAATTGGCCTCCACCTAGCATTTCTTCTGACCAATTTGCAGCATTTAAAAAATCAAAGGTGGAGGCCATCCGCCAGGATCTCGCACCCTATTTGGAAACAGTGGATCGAGCTGAGACATCCAGGGCAGCGTCTTGTCCGTTGATAAATACTCAGTTTCAACCTGTGATGTCCACAGAGGTGGACAGGGTCCTTGATCACTGTTGAGTCACCACCTCCTCTCTTGACCCTTGCTTGGCCTGGCTAATCAAAGCCACCAGGCCAGTGATAACTGAATGGGCCACTGAAATAATAAATGAGTCTCTTTTTGAGGAATGAAGGAAACACTCATTAGACACATTAGGAGGAAATTGAGCTTGGTGGCGAACAACATTGACAATTATAGGCCTGTCGCCAATGTTTCTTTCCTTAGCAAGGTAGTTGAGAGGGTGGTGGCCAACCAGCTTCATGATCTCTTGGATGAAACCGATGCCCTGGATCCGTTTCAGTCAGACTTCAGGCTGCGCCAAGGCATGGAAACAGCATTGGTCACCCTGTTAGATGACCTACTTAGGGAGACTGACGGGGGCAAAATGTCCTTGCTCGTCCTCCTTGATATTTCAGCCACCTTTGATACCGTCAACCACGGTATCCTCCTGTGGAGACTCTCTGAGTTAGGGATCGGTGGCCTTGCTCTTGCTTGTCTCCAGTCCTTCTTGGAGGACTGCCCCCAGAGAGTGCAGCTTGGGAAGAATGTATCGGCCCCGTGGTCCCTCAATTGTGAGGTCCCATAGGGTTCGATCATTTCCCCAATGCTGTTTAACATCTATATGAGGCCGGTGTGTGTGTGTGTGACATCCAGGAATGTGAAGCTTCGTGTCACCAATATGCTGATGACACCCAGCTCTACATCTCCTTTTTTCTATCTGCAGTGGATGCTGTTCTGTCCCTTGGGCACTGCCTGGAGGCCGTTCTGTAATGGATGCAGTCGAATGGACTAAGGTTGAACCTGGACAAGATGGAGGTCCTATGGGTGGGGGCCCCGCAATGTCAGTGGTTTGGGGAACTCCCTCTCTTTGGGGGGGGCAACTCTCACCACAAAGAATTTGGTTTGCAGTCTGGGGGTCCATCTTGACCCGGCGCTTACCGTGGAAACTCAGGTAGCATCCGTGGTTTGGTCCGCCCACTTACATCTTCGGCGGATTGCCCAGCTGCGTCCCTATCTAGACACGGGGGCGTTCACTACACTAGTCTATGTGCTTGTAGTCCCAAGAATAGACTGCTGTAATACTCAGTACGTGGGGCTTCCTTTGGGCTGATACGGAAGCTCCAAATGGTCCAGAATACGGCAGCCAGGCTATTAAGAGGGGTGAAAAGATTTCACCCTATTTCCTCCACCTTGGCTGCCTTACACTGGCTACCTATCTGCTTCCGCATTGATTTCAAGGTGCTAACCATCACATATAAAGCCTTTAATGATCTAGGCCCTCAATACTTGGCAGAGCGCCTTCTTCAAACCAGTTCTATCCGTATCACCCGCTCCAGTCAGTCTGGGCGACTAAGGAGCCTAACACCAAGAGAGGTCTAGTGGGGTAAAACTAAAAATCGGGCCTTCTCAGCAGTGGCCCCTCGTTTCTGGAATACCTGCACTTCTCAGCAGTGGCCCCTCGTCTCTGGAATACCTGCCTGGTCCCCTTGCTGAGGGCCTTCAAGACCAATCTGAAGACATGGCTACACAGACAGGCCTTCCCTACAGCCATTACCTAGCCTATCCTTTTCCTTTTTTTCTCTCTTTCTTCTTCTTCTTCTCCTCTTCCTTTCCCCATCTTTAACTCTATGATTAACTTGGATTTTACCTTCATTTATTTCTTATGTTGTATGTGTAGACACATTCTAGATGGGCGGTATATAAAGCTAATAAATAAAATTAAATAAATAAATAAATACAGTTACCCTGCTAGTTCCTTGAGGAAGAATCTGGAGGTCCCAACCCCCATGAGGGTCACATAGTGTTTTCTGGGGGCGCAGGTTGCAGGTCACCTGATATGGTTGTAGTCCTTGTTAAATAATGTCTTCCTTGACTTTTTGGAATGGGATGTTAAAGTTAGTGTGTATGTATGAGAAGCAGGCCCTTTGGGGGAGAAAAGGAGCCTCTATTTTCTGACTTTACCCCATTAAAAAATCCTTTTTACACCAAAACGTGGCAGTGGATTGCATGTGACTTGCCTGTTAAAAAAGGGGGTCCAACTGGCATAAGGTGTCGGCTCTCATCTTGAGCTTGTGGCTGTTTCCCATGGAAAGTTTGTTATGTCCCCTTTATTATGTCAATGGTTCGTGTTTGTTATGTTAATTGTTCATGCATATTCATGTTGCTGAGAGGCGGAGCCGAGAGAGATGTGATAAGAGGCGGAGTCTGAGAGAGAGTCAGTCAGAGAGTATGAGTAGAGTGAAAGAGCAGATAGGATGTGGTGTTTGAGTAAATCAAATAGGTTGTTGTTAATAATAAATTTACCTAAAGAAGATGTTCATGAATCACTATCAATTTCTGTAATCAATAAACAAAAGTTCTATTTAAAAGATTTTGAAGTGTGGACCTGAATCTTTGTCTTCCTGAAGTAATGGTGATTTATTTATTTATTTA